AACAGGGGTGTGCAAAAAAAAAAAAAAAAGAATAATTTTCCCTGCTCCATTGTAGCCTATGGGGACCATTATAGTCAATAGGACCCATAGGCTATAATGGAGAATTGATCTGGGGGTATCTGGGGCTCTGGGGGGGGCTGTTATTTTACGGTTAGGGTTAGCTGCTGGTGCCTCTCCTCAACCCCCTTTCCCAAGTTTCAAAAAGATTGCACCAGGGGTCCAATTCTATGGACCCCAGTAGGAGGTGCCCTCATCCTCCATTGTTTCCAATGGAGGGGAAAATGTCTTGTGAGCACAAGCTTACAACCCCTGCGCTGCCTGTTAAAATTTTGTGTGCCAGCACTCCCTAGTGCAGCTTAAAGGGAACTGTGGTCCTAACATCATAATCTGCCTTCCTTCTTTTTGACATGAAGCACAGCAGGTGGAGAGATTAGCATACGGCCATGTTTTGTAGCTGTCCATGCTACTATTTTAGATCTAGCTGAGCCCTAGTCACTGGGCATCATTATATCCTCTCTCCATTTGTTGTTGGTAGACCTGGTACCAGTTGTCCCAGGAAACTCCAGGTGCCACCCCCCCCCCAATAGCTGCTTGTCCATTGCTGTTCACTGGGGTGGTAGGTAAGTGATTTGGGGAGGTGGGGGCCACAGTTGAAGTTGTGTTAGAGCCCTGTTTCTATCAAGTCATAGTTTCTATTGGAGAGTAAACAGGATCTTCTTATGTCAGTTTCATAAAGACAGAATAGCATGGGAAATGAGAAATTAGATTTGGAATTTCTTTGACAATCAGGGACACATGAGTGATGCATTTTAATACCCCCCCCCCCATTTTGTGGCACTCTTTCACAAGTGTAAAGCTTTGGAATGTGTCTTTTTTAAAAAAATTCCCCCTCAGCACTAAACTGTTGGCTGCTGGGGGGGGGGGGGGAGAGTTGGTTTGTTGCTGTGACAAATAAACCCTATAAGCAGGTTCCTTTTACAGCAGTTACCATCACAGTTTTTCTTTCGATACTGCATCACCCTGAGTGAGTGTTTAAACAAGCAGAACAAAGGTGGCTTGGAATCTAATGGCTTTTCCTCCAGATTCTCTAAGGCTCTTTGCAAACCTTCAGAAGCTTTTAAGGGGACTGACTGCAGTGGGGAAACGAGCCTGGCATTTCTAGCCAGAGGCCCCTTGAGCTGAACACTGGCTGCTTGGATACTTTATTGGAGAACTGTTTGGAACAAATACTCTTGGCTCTTTCTCCCCCCCGTTGTGCCAACTGTCAGGTCTGCTAATTTAAGCTGGCTTGATGCCAGCGACTGGGTTATCGGGCCAGGTTCCTTCAGTCCTTGATGGGTTTTGTTGCTGTTTCGTGCGCATAGCTGGCTGGGGACTGAAAGCGTTAAATCTGGCATGAGGGCAGGAGAAGAGGAAGAGAACCCAAGGGAATAGGTGGGTGCCTGCAGGCCCTAAGAAAGAAGGTACAGGGCTGGTCTGTAAAGCCTGGTTAAGAATTGTAATATTTAAATAACTTTTGTTTTGCAAAGTGCCCAAAGTGTATGGCATACATTATGTCTGATAAACCAATCCAATAAGTGAGGTTAGCATTATCATCTGATGGGAGCTGGTGCAGCATAGTG